TTATTCGTTTGTTTGTTCATTCATTCATTCATTCATTCATTCATTCATTCATTCATTTTTCCTTAAAACAGAAGTAGGGGGCGTTCAATTGTTCAGGGATTATTTAGGACAATGCTCCCAAACTGAAATATGTTCATGATAAGTAACTGCAGCCCAAACCACAAGGATTAATATGACCCATTTTTTTTCATCTGTAGCCAATACTTTCTCTACTTTCTTAGGTTGCTTTCTCAAGCTATATTCTCAGTGCAGCATAGTTATTCATGTGTGTTTTGAATATGGGAATGCCAGTATTCACACTTCTGATCAACATCTATTGGCACAGTCAGGAGTTTTATAGGATCTCTATCATTATTGACCTAGATAAAAAGGATCCTTATATTGATTGTTTCATGTCTCAAACAGGTTGATGCCGATACGATTACATATTCAAATGCGATCTCAGTAACTGCTCCTTCACAAGGCTTCATAAGAAGGATACCAGATCTTCTCGTGCATGTCAGATGCAAGATGCTTCAACATACTTGGGTAGAAACAATGTATATCGCTGAGCAAACAAAGGAGATAAATGAAACGCAGTATGGCCAATATAGTGTGAACCTTACATTTTATGACCCGTCCTTCTGGAATCCAGTGAATAATGTCCCCTACCGTGTTGTATTAGGTCAGAGGTTATATTTGCAAGCTGAGCTCTATAGCTCTGATTCTAACCTGCAGCTGTTTTTGGATACTTGTACAGCATCACCTTACTACAATGATTTTACAACCCTAACTTATGATATTATCAAGAATGGGTAAGGACTTCATCTTCTTTCAGGTTATTTGGTTTGTGGGAGAATGCAGGGGAATACATTAATTTTGATTGCTGTTAGTTTTCCAAACATCTGTGTGGTATAATTATTTGATAGTTAAAATATTGTCAGCCCCACTAGGTAGACTAGACCAGGAAAATATTTACAGTCCTGTTTCAATTGTGTCTCTATGTCAGTATGATTCTCTCTCTCTTTTGGAGTTTGCACATAACATAATGCTAGGAGTAAGTGCCTCAATACATAACATTATGCCTGATCAAAAGTCCTAGAAAGGTTGAACTATTATACCAGACTATATCTAATAGGGAGCAATTTGTAATAAATTTGGAATTACAGGATCATTCTTAGCTTAGAAATTCTCCCTCACCCCAAAAGAAGAGAATAGTTGTTCATCCCTAATTTGTATTAAGTTTTCATAGGGGAAGCTCTGCTGAAGATGCACTTTAGCTATGGATTTGCTATGTGGTGATCTACAAGTATTGGATATATCATTCCCATCTACCAACTTGCTTCATTCATGATGCAGAACAGAGGAGAGATCACCTAATGTTCTACTTTCCATCTCTATTCTGCTACTGTTATATACATAAAAGGTTACAGCCGAAATAACCAAAGCCCGCTCCCTTTAGGACTGCCCATGCTAATCACCCAGTAACTCTGAATTCCAGTGCTCTGGACCAAGCTATATTTTTGCTAGCTGAATTGAATGCCCTGGGTGCTTGCTCTGATCTGGATATAGTGATTGACGGGGAATGTGCTGAGTGCAAACTAAACTGGAAATTACCCAAGATCATTTTCCAACAGAGAAGACAGTCTTGATACACAGACTCCAATTATAGATTTCCTTACTGCTTTCTTTTCTCTGTTGATGTGTTATATTATAGGGACATAACATTCTTCGTTATGTGGTATTAAAGCAGTTAGCATTTTAGAGAGCCTTTGCTGCTCTTTTTTTTGGGGGGGGGAGTGAATTGAAACTGTTGTAACCCCATTCTGAAGATTGTTTATCAGTGAAAAGTGGGCTAGAAATTTTTATAAAATTCAGTTGCCAAGTTTCAAACTACTTTTCTAAGCTGCTGCTGCTGAGATGTAAGTAAAGCAGAAAGGGACTGCTCCCAACAGCTAAACAATTGCTGAACAGTAACGTTATACATATAAAAATTGAATGTAACTGATTATAAAAACCATATTTAATCAATGTAACATAATGTATATATAATGTGTGTATACACACATGCATATATCTTATATTATAGTATTATATAACACAATAATATATGATACAAACAGCTATTTTATAAATATTATTATATAAAGATTTGGGCACCATTTATGAGTACTGCAAACATTTGGTCTTTATGTGTTTCATGTTGCAGTTCCCTTCCCTGAAATTATACAGGCTGGATATTGCAACAATATAGTGTGTGTATTTGTGTGTGCGTTGATAATTATGACTCAGCACAAGCTGTTAAACCAAACCACACAGACACTATATTGTTGCATTTCTGTTGGAGTTTTGAGATCATTTTCTTCCTTGGCCCCCAAGTAACTCTCAGTCACTTGTCTGAATCCAGCACATCATAGTTTCAGTGATACAATCCAGGGACAGCTCACTTGGGCCAACAGATCTAATAAAAGTCAAAAGGACTGATAATGAATCCGATTTTTCAATACAAATTCATTCTAGTAATAAAACAGAAAATCAACCTTCCCCATTCCTTTGTTTCTGAAAACCATGTCATTTTTAAAATATTGTTAATAGATTACTAATGAATAAATTAGTAGTAAATAGTAGCTAATAAGTTAGTAACTATTAAAAGTTTGCTTTATTTAAAATACCCTTCTCTGGCTGGATTACCATATTGATGTTTTTAAAATAGCTACATTTAAACCAGGAATATGACCTTCAAAACCATAGGTGGCCCTTGAGCTTCACCTACTTTTCCCACAGACCATCACAGATGGCTACCAGACTGTTGTTTTTACAGAAGGAAAATTCCTAAATAAAGGACTGAAGAGCAACCATGTTCACTATATTTAATTTACTTCAAACATACATGTCAATTAAATCAAATCAAATGTAATTTTGGTTTTCCTCGCCCACTAGGTCTTGGAATACAGTCTGTAGCATGCTGCCTAGGGGCCATTTGTGGATCCTGACCTTGAAAAATTTAATTTTAGCAATATATTTATTTCCTTATACTCTGGTTTCTCTTCAGATTGTATAAATCTTTCACCTTTTTTATTTCCTTGAGATTAAAATCAGAAGACATTCAAATGACATGGGTTGCAGATGACATTTTTATTCATTATTCTAAAACAAAACCTCTGCAGTGTTCCTTGTTCCTGGTAAATAATTGTCAATCAGGGTATCTGTGTATTGACAAATCATTTGGCAAGTACTTTGGATAGTCTTTTTCATGAAAAGGTGTTCTGACTTGGCATTACTTCAGTGTTGAATTGACATTATAAAGGTTAAGATGATATGCAGCTTCTACTTTTCTTGTGAAAGCAGAGTTTTTAAATTGAAAGAACAGTAAAAACTATATATTGAACATGATACCCTGAATCAGTGGCACTTAATCAGAGCCTTTATTTATGCTTTCAGCTTGGCAAACCAGATCATAATTTTTATGTGCAACATAACCATGGTTATGGTATTCTTATTGTCTAATGAGATCAAAGTCACTAAATCATATAGGGTAAATTTGAAATCTGCCATGAGTGGCTTGACTCTTGGTGACTTTATTGACCTATCCATGTGGTTTTCTTTGAACAACATGGAAGGCTTTGCTTTCTTCTTTCCTTCTCACCCTAGTCTATATCTCTTTCCTCATGGTCTTTCATCCAAACACTAACAGACCCAATCCTGCTTAGCTTTGTGAGATCAGCCAAGCTTGGCTAGTTTTTTCCACTTAGCTTAGCAAATAGGACAAAGAGCAGCCTAAGAAGATTAATAAAATATGTGAAACAAGATTAGAACACACTAAGTAAGATTTAATTTTTTGTGTATAGCAATAATCAATTAGTGAAGATCCCTCTGTATTTACTCATCAGATGAGTTGAATTTCCCATGGAGGGTTGTCTGATATCAAATATGTTACATCTTAGAATAGATAAAAATTCCACACTTATAGGTTTTTCCTACCAGTGCATTCCCTTATAGGTCTTTTACCAGTGCATTCCCTTCCTTCTTTCTTCAACAATGTCTAAACAGATATCTTGAAGATCACAAGAAGGATTCCCCTGTCTCAGATATTCAAAGCTCAGATATTCAAAGTCCTTCCCCCCAAAAAATGTTAATTGACTTGATTTCCCATGAATTTCTGTCCTGCTTGTTAAAGTCATTGAAGATAGTGCCCATTAGAACTTCTTGTAAATAATACATAAGTTGATTTATGTAGTCTGATGATAGTTGTCTTCTTCTTTTTTTTTTTTCTGGTCTGAAACTAATACAAGTTAGTTTAACTGGATGACATTTTCAGTTACAATGGTGATTTTTTTTTTCCTTGCCAAAACATGTTCCACATTTTTAAACATTAACAATTCAAGTATGAGAAATCAATAACATACTTTGTCTGAGCAGGTATGTTTTGGGACTACTGGCATCTGTGGAAAGGGGAAGGGGTGTCAAAACATGCAAGATGGTGATTCAGCCCCTTTTGTAATGTGTCAAAACCACAAATGCCATCTTGCCTGTTTTGACCTCCCCTCCCATGGATACCAGTGTTGGAACTCAAATATAGTGCCATTTTTTCATATTCAGTTGTCTTTACTCAGAGTAAGCTCATTAGTTGGGCACAGCAATAAGTGAACTGAACTGAATGTATGTTTTGTTTCAGCATTATTAAGGATATCTTTTTTTTTTTTACTTCCATACGTAGAACAGTCATTGTATTTGGATTATTTTTCATGTGTAAATTATGGGAAAGAAATTTTATAAATAAGAATATAATAAACACAGCAACTGGAGTGCTAACTAATGCCAATAAATCTTCTATTTTGTTTTCACGCAGGTGCTATAAAGAACCTACTTATCAGAATCATTACTCACCAAATAAAAACATTGTTCGCTTTTCCTTCCAAGCCTTTGTATTCATGCAGAGATACCCATCAGTTTACCTGCAGTGTAAAGTGGTGGTTTGCAGAGCCTATGACTATAACTCAAGATGTAATCGGGGTTGTCTGCCTAGATCTAAGAGAGATATAGGCTCCTATCAGGAACACCTAGATGTCATTGTTGGACCAATTGAAGTTCAGAAGGATGGCGTTCAGAACAGAAACTTTGGTAAACTGAAACAACACTTAGCAAGTTCTTTAATGGATTCTAAAAATAATCAATGCCATTCAGTTCTTTCAAGATGATAGAGCAAGTAGCAGGAGAAATTGGGGGAATGGCTAGAAATCAAGATATAATTTGAAATTACTGTTAAAATTATTATCCTGATTCCTGCTGCCTATCCTGCAGCATTCCTTGTTCCTGATAAATAATTTTCAAGCAGGTTATATGCATATTGGCTTATGATTAATTGAAAATTAATTTTTAGGGTAGTTTTCAATCACAGTCCAAGCAGATGATGTATCATTTTTTCTTCTGATTTTTTGCAGAAGCAAAGCAAGAAGTCCAAGAAAATTTGGCAGCTCATGATTCGCACGTACCTTACATCGTTGCTGCTGTCGTCCTTGCAGTTGTTGTCATGACTCTTGCAGGAATTATTTTGAAAAGCAAGTGGAGGAGACCAATTCCATATGAGATAATGTGAGGACTTAAAATCTTGGGATACAATCCAATGCCCAGTTAATTGAGATGAAACTAATTATTGGATGGAGTGTGTCCTCAATAGCAAGATCAGTATTTCTGACATATATTGACATTCCTGTAATTTATGTTGATTTTGCTTTTACATTAAAATTAAGAACTGGAAAATAAAGACTTGAAAAGTTCATTAACTTCTATAACAGGGATTTGAAGAATATGCTTTTTTTCCCTCTAAAATGAATGGTATCTAAAAATACATGTTGATTGGATTATATACAGTAGGTCATCATGAACATATCTGTGTAGGTAGATTCAGATCAGATATATGTATAAAGCTAGACCCAAATAAAAATTATCTCTGTTTAAGCTTCCCATTGGACTCTCTTCAGGTATTATCAATTAGAGGTGTAGTGGGTACACTACTATATGGCCATTTGCCATGCTCTTGAACACACTGTCGCAGGGTGAGGTTGAATATCTGAAGGGATGGGGCTGGCATTTCATCCCATATAATGTGGTTCAAAAGTCTCTACAGACCTTCCTAATAGTCTAGTCTAGGATGAAGGTATCCAGCAAGCACCTCTGTTCTTTTTATGCTTGCTATTTATCCTGCTAAAAAATAAGTTCACTCCAGTAGAAAGCTAGGTTTCTGAAAGTTCTATACTTTTAATCAAGTTATCTCCAGTCTGGCTAGCTTAACACTATCATCAGCTGAGAAAAAGTTTTGAAAGACAGGTCATATTTTAATTCTCACATGTTGTGAGAAATATTTATGTGACTTTGGAATTGGACTGACAACTAGTTCACATTAAGCAAGGTAGAAGTTGCAACCAGTTCAGCTGACATTTCCATGCAATCCTCCAAAGTGGCCAGCCCAGAATATAATAGTTCAGCTGGGAGATTCTTAGTCAAGTACAGTTACAGCAAGAAAGCCTTGATGTATTTTGGCCCACTCTCAAGTATTTTTAGTGATTCAAAAAAACTTCAGGGAAATGAGTCTAATAATTACTTCCCAAGGAAGAACATGTCCTGGCCATTCAAATCTTTTGCCAAGAGTCAGAGTCCAATCACTTATTCCCTCAAGGCAACCCACAGGGCTGCACTCTTCATAGAACACCAGTAGGAAAGCTGGAGGTAAAAAAAAAAAAGGTAAACTGTAAAATCTTTGGATTATGAAAAATCTGTGTTTTTATAAACGAAGTTTTCCAAATTATATCCTGTACTATTGTGGCTGTTTATTCAGTTCACTAAAAAGAAGACATACATACTTAGCTATTCCTAGGCCCTGATAAGGAATGGGCATAGAGGGCATGTTTGATTTAATTATTGGAAATATACACTTGAATATAATCCATAGCACCCCTGGGAGAACTAGTCAAAATGACACCACAAGGATGTTACAGTAGGTGCAAAGCTGAAAAGGAAGAAATTGCTTTATTTCTGTCGAATTTAGATCTGTATACTTTTGGATAGGCCCCGGTCCAATAAATGGAGAATTTTCATAAACAGAAATGCTACTACACCTAAAATCTCAGTGGTTTCTTAAATGTAGAAAAGGAGAATAAAGGGTCAGGCTTCATCCTCCCCTGTTCTCTACCACCAGCTTTGACAGTGAAATCATGGGAATTGCATGTATAATGTAATTTCAGAACCAGCAGAAGTCCTGCTTCAAGAAGCAGATTATCTATTTTCATTCTGATGCACTTAAGGCTAGTTCTCCATGGTTTGCTTCTTACTTAGTTGGTCCCCTCCTTTTCATTTGACAATCAAATTGTTAAAACATGTCACACATATTGACAACAATGCACTGAATAGCAAAGGATCAATACACATGCATAAGCAGAACTATCTATAAGATATTTCTTCCTGGAAAGATATTTTGTTTTTAAAATGATCATAGATTGGAGGTCATTAGTTGTGTGCGTGTGTATGATATTAACATGTTTCACCATAACTGACCCTCACTATGTTCATGTTCATGATGATGAAGATAAATTAGTGAATTTCCTTGTAAATATTTTTTTGCAAACACTGTTGCTGATAAAAATTAGAATGTTTTAGATTAACAGGTTTGCTTGAGTGATTTCCCATTCTCTTTTGGCACTTGAAATGCGAAGGCCTTGACATGTCATTGAACTGCCACTAAACCTCTTCCTTATTCATTTATTAATCATACAGTTTCCCATTCTTGGCTGTCTGCACTACCTTATCTTTCCCATGCCAATATAAGTATGTCTTCCATCTTTGTACTATTTAGTACCTGGCTTCAAATAACTGTATTATTGCTACCTCTTCCTTGACTGAGATTATGGTTTTCTCAGCCTTTACATTATGTTTATTTGTTGAATACTTAGAGAACATGCACAAGCATCAATGAGCAGGCCTGAATTACAATTAATAGGTCTGAAAAGCTTTGAGGAGGAACTTTAATTCAATGAAGCTTTGACTGAATTACCCCACAGAATCAGATTTTCTGTCACAGCAGGGATCACTTTGAAGCTGCATATCACATCATATGGCTGCTGTTTAAATTGCTATTTGAACTGCTTTACACATCCAGTGGCTTTTCTTTTGAGGTTCTCATAGGCAGTATACAACATTGCAACTTCATTTCCATGTATGGAGAATATTCTTGGATATGAGTAGCTAGCTGGTTAATTATTTTATCTCCTCAGAACCCTTTGAGATATTAAAATTGTTTTAGGATTAATTTTACTATGTGCAAAATTGATTCCTGGACTGGAGCATTCTAGGGAACACCAGAACATCCTATTTTTCTTCTGGAATATGCTGATCTGGTTGCTCCAAGGGTACTCTGGAAGGATTTTAGAAGTAAAACTTCCAGAATCAGAAGTTGTTTGCAGTGTTCTGGACATGGTGTGTCCATGAAACAGGACATATCAAAATATTACATCTAGAACACCACAAACTCCCTCCTGTTCCAAAAGAGCTATTTCTGGAAAACAATTAAACTATTCCGGGAATGATTGGATCAATGAATTCTAAGGGAGAAGGAGGACAGTGAACACTCTGATGTTCCCCAGAAACTTCTGTTCCCCAAATGATGAGTCTTGTACATCCATTGGAGTTGAGTGGCCTATGAATTTAAATAAATAAATAAATACCTTTCTCTGCTCTTAACTTATTTCACATGGCCAGCGACTTATCTTAACTTTGCTTTTGTTAGAGCTAATGGAACATTACAATTCCTGTCAAAACAGTGGAGATTCCATCTTAACTGAATGTTTGGAGCAGGTTTAAGTCTCCCAAGAGTGAGTAAATAAGTGCTAGGCTAATGCTTATAGGCAGTGGCCCAAAGTGCTTTTAAGAATTTAAGAGGGGTTCACAAGGCATCTGAATGCCATTTTCTCTGGGCCAACTTCTTTCTTTCTCTATAGTCTCTTATTTCTGTGGTGCTGTATTTCAACGTGCAAGTTTGGCTCTACGAACTAATGCAATTTGTTTCCCAGAAATCACAACTATTTGTTCAACTATGTCCTGCTTTCAAAGAATGGATCCTTCCCAGAAAGGCCAAAACTTGCTTTGCCAACCTTTTGTGAGAGCTCAGAAAACATTGGATTGGATGCAAGGGCAAGTCAGTTATCACTTTTCAATGTTGTGCCAAGGGCGGCATGCTAGAAGAGAACATGGGAAAGGAAGAGCTTACTTTTAAAACATTTTTAAAAACTTAGAATAGAAACCTCTCTTCAGTAGTTCAGCACAACGTAGGCCTTTTGCTGAGCTTTTTGAATGCTGTCCTGGAGCCCTTTCTTCATTCCTGCTATCTCAGCCTTAAAAGAGATGTAAAGGAAATATTTCAAATATATATTGCAGTGAAATACTTGAAGGTATCCATCTGATGCTTGGCAGGGTTATTGACCCCTAAAGGGTCTACTATCCTAGATATCTTCTTCTCTTTCTACCAAAAAATAAATACAACATTTAAAAATGAAGCAGCTCCAAGTGTTATGATCCTTTTCCATTATAGCTTATGGCTGATCTTTTCCCCTCTTAATTTAATTTCAAAGTGGTTTCAGACTGAATCAGGACTGATAATCACAGGCTTAATAACTGATATAGAACAACACTGAGAAAGTTCTGAGTTTTGAAATGAGACAATCTTGTTTGTTTTGAATTATTAGAGTAACTACTTTCGTGGATTGATGTAAGGATCGAGGGTTGCAAGAAATATTTGATTCATTCTACTGGTACATTGATTTCTTCATGTTCTGCTCTATTATACAGGATCAAACATGAGGAATCATGAAAAGATACAGTTTTAAAAAACAAGTAATTCAAGCTGTGTCAATGGGACTGTACACATGTTCTTGACATGTAACCTGAATAGAGTATTGAAACCTGGATAACAGGCATTCAGGTACCCAGTTAAGTACTGGTCCCACTCATTTGACTTCCACATTTGCTGTGCTGAATAGCAAGGTTTGTTCTCCAAAGGATTCTACTCCAATTCTCCTCTAAGGTTAGGTGCACATAGAGCATGTTGTGACTCTCATATGTTTCCCGGAAAAGCCTGCATTTAAAGATGGACCTGAAGAATCACATATAAAGCCAGTTCTGGGAACTCTGCAAATGAAGGCCCGGGTTCAGATTACAATGAGACACGAAGTCTCAGAGAAATATTGTTAAACCCAGTCAGCACAGGCATTTGAGTGTTTAAACCCAGGAATGTAGTAATATAAGTATATATTCATGAATGAACTTCCATATATCTTATTTTTTGGCAGCTAGAGTTTAAATCAAATCCCAAGAGCTCTGGTTTTATAAATGTTCAATTTCTAACATCCAGTGTTGGATCAAAGTCTATACAATAGTATCTGATCCTAACTGTATAAGAATGCAAGACACACACACAAAAGTCTCACTTAAGTCTAGAGGAGGACTTGCTACTCTCCCCCATACATTGCTTCTAGAACAGCAGCAGTGCTACTAACCTTGTGCTTGGCAGCCCAAAGCAAAGTTTATGGAGGAGCAAATCTTGTTTAGATACAATAAAGCAGCTGTTCTAAGAAACTGATTGGGAGGGTATTGGCTAATGGAGGCTCTAACCCAACTTGACACTTAGTTTGTCACTCAAACTGGCCACTTCATTTTGCTTAATAGCTTTGGTACCTTGATTCTCACTGAACATGTGTACAAAATGCCCTCTGCTTTCACGTTCCTGTGAGTGTTTAACTATGTTACATCCCCTGATTCTACTGCTACCTCTCAGGCAGGGCAGGGATTAGGGGCAGAATATGCATTCCTGTGCTGCTTAGAGTATATTATTCAACAAATCTTAATAGATTCTAATCCCTAAGCAGAATTTACACAGAATGCAGCCTTGATGAGTTATGACAAAATGAAAATGAACTACTTTAGGAGCATCTAGGAGAATTTTACTTACTTTGCATTGCAAATCCTCATGCATCCTCACAAAATATGTATGAAAGTCCTTGAAATATCAAAAATAGCTTATAGTACAGACTGTAGTATTTGGGACTTTGAAAAAAGGAAAACTCAAAGTTCCTGTTGAGCACATTGAAGTAATGTCATGATTCTTTGGATATCATCCATTTATATTTTCCATCATATTCTGTGAGGCAGCTGAATGAAAATGTCCTCTTAAGATGTTGTCACTTGTCAAGCATACCACAATTTTATAAACTTCCCTGATATGGAGAATGTTCCCATCTACACAAAGTAGCTAGATGGATTTATGGTGTACTGTTGCTATTCATTTGATACCACTTCAAATCCATAGATCTTTTGGTTCCTTTCTTCCTGGAAAATATCTCTTACCAAAAAAGAGAGGAAATAGGATGACAAATCTGGGCTTCACTTTCGAGACTGTTTATACAATAAGTATATAAATTGAAAGATAAGGAAAATGCCATTTGTATGCACCTGTATTGTTGGCACAGTTTACCAAACATTGTTTGGCATCTTGAAGTACTTTCAAGATAACTTCCTTTTCACCTGAGCTGATGAAAAAATGCAGATCAAGTTTCAGACTCTGCACTGTATATATTCACAGATGATCCCTGCCAGAGGATTACTGTTTTAAACTCTTCTGGAATCTTTCCCCAAGATGGATCACACAGTGATCTTCCTTTGGGTGCTACAGCTTTCAGCTACAGGTAATGTGCTGGGTTTGATTTGGGTAAGGGGATACTTATTTTATTCTCTCCATATACAAGGCTGGAAATGAGCTAAATAATAATGAACTGAAGAACAGACAATGTGAATTGTTCAACATTTTAGTACAATGACTAGAATGTAGTGCTAGTGCAGTTTTCTTGGGAACATTGTGGATGTTTGCCACTGCCTCCTTCAGACAGTTGTTTTCCTTCCTATCCTAATCTAACAGCCATGGTATTCACAGGTAATCCCTATCCAAGTACTACCTAGGGCTGACTCTATGTAGTTTCCAAGATCAGCCAAGGTCTCCTAAGTGTTGCTACTTTCTGAGACAGCTGTGATCTATTGTAATCTATGTTCACCAGTCAGACTATATAATTTGGTCTACAGATTATGGACTGACTAGATATTTAGCTAATGTTAGTGATGGCTAAACATGAACCTTACTTACTTAGAAGTAACTAAACAGCAGAAATTGAATTGAGACACTTGAATGGGATTGGGTTATGAATTCCACACATGCAGAAGAACAAGATAGACCTGATTAACTTGTTTGTTTGGATTATTGTTTCAGTTTTGTGATTCTATCAGCACGAGCCATAAACTACTCAATCCATCATATTTGCCCTAAAAGTCAAGCTCAGTGCAGTATATGTCTCAGTATGAGATGCACTAAATGCAGCTTTTCCAGTTTTGTGCAATAAAAAAGCAATTATAAGGCTAGGGATTTTCCTGCTATAAATTTAATGGCAGATCTAAGCACAGATTGCTGCAAGTATTTTTAATAAACTCTGCACAACCAGATTCAGGTTTTTCTTACAATAGATAATGGAATGAAAGCCTCAAACTAAAAATCAAGGAAAACAATGATTGATTCAGCTAATGTAATACTAATTTCTAAGCAGTGGACTCAGCCCAGATCATACTTGTTATCCTTCCTTCCTTCCTTCCTTCCTTCCTTCCTCCTTCCTTCCTTCCTTCTTCTCCTTCTCCTTCTCCTTCTCCTCCTCCTCTATATTGAAATATAATTTGATCTAAGTTATCCAGAAAAACAGTAATTGGCTAACTGTCATCTCCAAGATTTGAAATGGATAGAGACATGCCATATTCAGTATAAATCAAATCTCACACTATAATTGACCAAATGTTTAATGTGGAAGTTTTCAGCTGTCATTCTCAGTATGAAGAAAGCAATATTCTAAGGTTTGGTATACAGTTCTTGATTGAATATAATCTTCATTTTTATGTTTTCAGAAAACTTTATATTGGGACTTAATATGCCAGGGATATTAGAAAGTAAACAGACATTATTGAAGGAAGTAGATTGTTTAAAGGTTTGGTCTAAATTCCACACAAATACAACGTCAGTCTATTCCATAGTTCGTGCCAAATGCCATTTTGCTATTCCAGTTACCCAAAGTCTGGGTAATTACTCAGGCTATTGCAGATATTGATCTGGGAATACTGTGCAATCGGGTGATTGACATACAGTACACGAGTGATTAAGAATACTCATATCGCAATATTTAGCAGCTTCACTTAGAGTTCCATTAATACTTTTTCACATTATAATGGTATTACTACAGAGCCTCACTTTGAATTCTGGCAGTATACAAATATGAAGAATAAATAAATAAAAGACAGGAATAGCATCAAGGAGGAATATTATGGTTGGATGGCAGAAATGATAAGTTTACTGCCACGGGGTCTCCAAAAACATACCATTATGCTTGTTGAAACTAAATAAGTTTTATTATTATTTTTTCTGCAGCATCTACAGTATCTGGTAAGTGTCACCTTCTATTAATGGATTGATTCAATGCCACAAATTTTGTTTAATGATAAAAAGTCTGTGAAGTAGGCACAGAAGAGAGGACATTGCAAAATATACACACTGTTCATTGTTTCCTCTTATCATTGACAAATATGACCAGACCAAGGGGTTGGAAATGAATCACTCTCCTTCAGAGACACTGACAGCATAAATGGGAAATCAATTATTCTCATATTAAGCAGATAACGAATATTTAATATTTAATTATTTTCCTCCTCTACTTGCTGAGTGCATCAAATTCATGAGTTTGCAACCCAGGCTAAAAAGGTTGCAAGATCAAGTGTTAGCTATGCCAGCTACAGTAGGAATATTTCAGTTTAGCTGCAATCAAACTATTTAATGGAAAAGTTATAAGTCTTTTCTTCTTTGGTATTAGTTCTGTATTTAATATCACACTTTGAAACTGTAATCAAATCAAAATTTATTACAATTATTGGGAGGCCTCTTACAACACTCTAAATGTCTTTCTTTGGATATAATTAAATCTGTCTCCTAAAATATTGGCTGAGTCATTCCTTTGGGGCTGAGTTGCTGGCTCATGTGACTTCTGACAATAAGTTTATATCTGCCTGGAAGAAGATAGTGCCAATGATTGTTTCTTTTGCTGCATTTCTGTTCCAATTTAGTATCACTTGGTTTTGACAGAGATATACAGTTAAACAGAAAGTCCTTGATTTGGATATATAGAGAATTAGATCTAGAAATCCCCTCTATTAGGGACCTCTTCCATAGCCTTTTTATGTCCCCCAAGTATCTTTAAGACATTAACTCTGCTACCCAGAAAAGCACTTGCACTCGCAAAATTTAATGCTTCACCTTCAAAGTTGATGGAAGGAAGATTTAATAATATTTTTTCTGCATTTATTCTGAATCAACTATGGGATCAGCAGCACATGTCCTACTCCATTATCTCCTTTACTGTACTTGGCACACAGAGCCTATATTCCCATTTCTCTCCTCGTGTCTGGGTTGATCAGATATGGAAATTACATACTTTTTACTTGCAGACCTTTCACCTGAAATCTCCAAGAGAGTAGTAAAGTTTTGCTTGATCATGTTTGCCATCAGGAGGTGTTGGGCCTGATCATCATTTAACAAAAGGGCTATCCACAACAACCTTAGATTTCTATCCTTAACTTGATCTGCATCATATTGTTCTATTTTTTAAAAAATTGGATTTGACTATAAGTCAATAAAATAGATAGGCACTGCACTGCAAAGAGTGAAAATTTTAAGGGGTGGGGAAAATCTATCCCGTCTATTCTATTTCTCCTGGTACAAGAGCTAGCTATCTTCCAAGTAACCAATAGCTGCAGATTAAAATTCTTATTTTCTTGCATAAACATAATTAATTATAAGCCAAACAACTGAGATACTAGTGCATGGGGATGATTAACATGGTCAGATCTGATAAATTTTTCCATGAGTTACAAAGATTCCCACTCAAAATTCTACCCCAGATGTATTATGAAAGCCCTCAAAGCTTTTCGTGCTTTGCTGATGATAGACCAGTAAGGAGAAGTTTACTGAAGAGAAGTTTATGCTGCCCTTCTAGTGGCTAACTCCCTAAAATACACACACATACACATACACACATACACACACACACACACACACAACATAATATGATCAGACTAACTCAAGACTCAATTTCCACTACATATGAGGTAATGACAAAATAATTCATCTTTACCTTTCTCCCTTTTTTCCTTCTTTTTAAAGGAGCAACTACCAGGCCACAGCATCTTTCTGCAACAGGTAAGTACAGCATCTACATAATATAATCCAGAAAGTTAGTCTTGGCTATGCCAGCACTACAGAATACTTTTTAGCACAATAATTTGCCAGCAAGCAAATGACATGAAAATGTTCAAAGGGTGCATATGAGCTCTGTTTGCAAATTTTCAATTCATTAAAAGCACCTATTGTAGAATGCTCTGAATTTCCTTGCTTCCAGACATTTTTAATTCACCAGTCTTTTATTATGTTGCCAATAGCATGAATTTTGTATTTCAAGACAGGATAGTCAAACTACATAGCTAATACAGGCAATATTACAAGAGATGCAAGACCTTGGATTAATATGATGACATCTATTGCTCTGTCTTCACACAAAATAAAACATGCCCAGGAAAAGGCACACTTTTACTTCTTACAGCTGTGCCCTAATAATTTTATCATATTATATTTTGGTCTATGTCAACTCTCTGCTTGTGCTGATTATGATGAGCCCAAGTGACTAATTTTGTAAGGCATAAGAACCCAACAGTGCAGATGAAACAAACTGAAAAATAGGATTAAAAAAACACACCTGTGCTTATAGGAGTCAGCCTCCAGATCATAGCGAAACTGGTAGCTATGTTTTTACTAAAAGGTATAAGATATGGTACATTTCATTAAATATATACAGTAATCAAAGTATTACACTAAACTAATCATTTAATATTTAATTAAATTAACAATTCTTAAATTAAATTAATGTATAAATTGTCACCATATAATTTATAGAGTTATACAATAAATATTATATAATTTAATATATTATTGAAATACATCATTGAACTGTTTTTGTTTTATAACTGAAGTACCCCTTGAATGTGGTGAGACATTCTCAGAAGTTACGGGATCATTTCTGGGCCCGGATTACCCTGGAGATGGAAGTATTCAACAGTGTGTCTGGACAATCAACTCCACTGATCACAGTCCAATAAGATTAACCATTCGTTATATCTCGTAAGTATTTTCCTTCCAAATACTGTTCAGTCATTTTAGTACCTGCCATTTCATGGGTCTTTTGGCATGGAAGGGGAACCAAGAGCTTTTGTTTCCAATGACACACTGTTGTCCTGTCAGTGATTACTTTTGTGTACTTTTCCCTCCTCAGGTTAGATTGTGCTACTGAATACATTGCTGTCTATAATGGAGAAGCACATAGGTCAACTCTACTTGGGAAAGTATGCAGTGGACTAGAGAAGATGTTTTTCTCTTATTCAGGCATGATAACCATGGTGTTATACAGAAAATCTAATACACCAGGCCAAGGCTTTATTGCGTTTTACGATATAGGAGGTAAGCATACTTACAGTTGCTGCTGTTTTTCATACCATGTGGGTTTTTGCTGACATTTTACCTTAGGATATATGTTTCCTTTCTCTGCACAAGTCTCAGAACTCTTGCAAGTTGGGATTCCAGATTTAGATTTGTCATGACTATCAGATAAGCTCCAATCCAACCAGTATTAATCCCGTGCAATGAAATTACCCAAAGGTAAACTCATCCAACCTTACTTCAGAAAGGCTGCAGATTTTTCAAAACTGTATGAATAGTTTAAGTCATTGCCAGAATTTATGCCCTACTGAAGTCTTTTCAAATACAGAGCAATCTGTCTTCTGTTTTTGCTTCCTGTCAGCCCTCCCAGGTAGACCAGACAGGAAACACAACTAGACAAACTAATTTTACTTTATTGTAAAGCTACATTAACAGAATCTTGCAAGTCTGATGGTACAAATCTCCCGTCGTTTCTTTTATCACCTGAGAATATAGGGAGGTTCCTTTCTGAGTCTCTTTCTCTGCCCATTCTGCAGCTGCAGGCTATGACCTCTCTTATCTGATCATTCCCTAGGCAGCATCTCTTCCCCCATCTCCCAAAGCCATTCCCACATATCATTACACTTCCCTCCAGTTGGGACTAGAAGAGAATGTGGGAAAGGCCTTCCCAGCAATGTTCCTTCCTCCCTTGGTGGCATGTACTCAGGACTTTGCCACCTCTGGGGACAGGAAGAGAAGGAAGTGTGCAAGCAAGAGAATGTTCTGGCTTCTTCTACAGTCTCTTCTGAACTCACAAATTTTGTCAAGGAAGATTAGACCTGTAGTGCTTTCTAGAGCAAGAATGCACAAGCCACAGCCCTGGGCCTCTTGCAACCTCAGAGCCCTTTATTCAACCCATTGTGAACTCTGTGCTCCTCTACATGGACTCTTTGGCCCCATTCAGTTGAAGATGGTGTGCAGGTAATGTCTTTCACATAAGAGAGTATGCCACACATTTACTAGATGTATTTTGCAAGATAGCATTAACACGAATGGTTACTGTTCACATTGTTTAAACAGATGGAATTTTTACAAGGCTCACACAGCTGCTCTGAAAGGTGTCCCCAGCTCTCTTGGCACAAATGTGCATGCAGAGCCATTTCATTTCAAGGTGTTGGTTTGTACCTTTAAAGCCTTTCATGGCACAGGACCAGGTTATCTGAGGAGCTGTCTCACCCCTGTTATATCAGCCTGCCCCACATGGTCCAGCAGAAGGGGCATGTTGCAGACCCCACCAGTCAAGGAATTTTGACTGGTGGGATCTAGGAAGAGGGCCTCCCAAAGTGTGGTATGCTACAGCTCTCATGGCCTTCAGGAAAGGTGTGAAATCCTGGCTATGCCAGAAGGCCTGGGGGGCCAGATGGGGGCTCGCATCAGTGGAGGTGGCTTGTGGGATAATTGACTTTGCCCCCTATCATCTTGAATATTTGTAGTATTTATGTATAGGATTTGTTTTTACCATTGATTTTTAATGGATTAATTTTAATTATTTATGGGGTATTTTTAATTGTTTATGGGTTTTTTATTTTTATTGTGAGCCACCCAGAGTCACCCGTTGGGGGAGATGGGTGGCATACAAATTTAGTAATAAATAAATAAATAAATAAATAAATAAATAAATAAATTTATTTTGTCGGTGGACCCAGAGGAAATGTTGCCTATCCATGTACATGCACACATAGGCTAAGCAAAGCACAATTTTCTGTGCTTTGTTTGTTCTAACACATGTTAGCACTGAGCCTCTTTCAAATGCTTTACATGGCCCTATGACACACAAAGCAAAGTATCCAATGTCTGAAATCCAATATTACTGTTATTTCTGAGAAGGATTCTTGGGCTACTTAGTCCTCAAGACAAGCAATGCATAACTGCAATTCAGTGCTCTGTTCAAATGGGCTCACCAGCCCAGAAAGTGGCAAACCAAAGCTGTAGAGTAGTAGGCCTATCCTGGTGGACCATAGAATGACAAGGAGATCCTCCCCAGTTTGGTTTTTGGCTAAACAATTCATGACAACTGTTTTGTGAATGGCTGGCTACCCAATAGTCATTTTGTGAGATCTCCCTTGATACATTCTCAACATTCCAGATATACCTGCAGCCCATCATCATCATCCTCATCCTCATCATCATTATCATCATGATGGAACCTCTTCATTATATAGAATTGCATGTGTCCTTTACCTCACAGAAGGAATCTTCTTAATGAATCTCCAAATTGAAAGTGGCTTCTGTTGTTTCTTTTTAGTCTTATAAAGCTCTTATATTCCACATGTACAGGAATGTTTCTGAGGATCTTCTATGTATGCAAGTGTGGTCATTTTGAAATGATTTTAATCAGTATAACATTGCTGTTCTGTCCTTTAGAGCAGTGTTTCTCAATCTTGGTAACTTTAAAATGTCTGGACTTCAGCTCTCAGAATTCCCTAGCCAGCATGCTGATTTCTGGGAGTTGAAGTACAGATATCTTAAAGTTGCTCAGGTTGAGAAATACTGCTTTAGAGTAAAGAGGGCAGCTGAGAACTGAGAAGACAGCAAATGGGAAGGAGCTTCTATGGCTATTAGCAGAAAAGCTATGGAAAAGCACAGAAAGCAGCCTAGAAGGCAGCACTGGCATATCATCAGTGGCCTTATTGTGGATGATGATGATGATGATGATGATGATGATGATGATGATGATGATATGTACTGTCTCATTTCACTGTGATTACTGGAAAAGCCACTGTTGCCCCAGCTGCATTCTAACTTCTTATATACAATTTATTTTTAGTTGTGGGCAAATAGATTGTATCCCAGTAAGATTAAGATCCTGTGAATAGATGGTTTTTAAGTCCAGAAGTTGAATAATTTACCTTTTTGAGGAGAGGATGCACTATTCCTGCAAAACAGATATAAGACTTGTGAGCGCTGATCGATTCAGCTTTGTCAAGGAAATTCCAACTAGGCTCAGGGGTCAAGAGTACTTATTCCCAGCAATGGCTGATATATAGCCATGACTTTTCCTGAACCAATACCCTTGCCCACAGTGGTCCACAATGACCTGTAATCTCAAGCTTGGACTACTGTAATGTGTTCTATGCGGTTCTTCTTTAGAAAATTTTGGAGATGGTAACTCTTGCAGAATGCTGCAATTAAATTGCTCAGTGGAATCCTTACCCATTCATGTAGCTACAGTCAGCTGTTCAACAGCTACTAAGCCATTTCCAATTTGCTATTCTTATTTATAAGGTCCTAAAATGCTCAGAATAAAATCAAATCAAGAACAGTATATTTTAATGCAATCTACCTTGAGGAGGTCCTGCTAGCTGTTAATGTGGCTTGTCTTCATTTAGCTATATGCAGAAGTTATACTTGTCATCATAAAATGTCCTCTTTGTGGAGCAAACTTCCGTTGGAGATGAAATGAGCTCCCACAATGTATTTTCTTCAAAAATTGAAAATTTGTTTTAGGCTTAGTGTCTCCTTTATGTTATCAGCTGCCCAAATCATTGTTTATTTCTTCTAAAATACCTGGTTGCATTTTTATATTGTTTTAATAGTCTGCTTTATTTATTATATACTCTTTTGATATTATCACATGAAAAGCAATGCAAGAATTCTGCAAAATGAATAAATAACTAAGGGTATTGGGCAAATATTAACAGATTTTGTTTTTTCTTATCAGCAATGTTCACAACTCCATGGCCAACAGTTGACCTCACAAGTAAGTTTGTACTTTTAATCTATAAGGTTTTCCAAGAGATCTAAAAAAATTATTGTTTGCAAATCTACCCTCAACTAAATAATCATAACTTGCCATTCTGTTCAGGCATTGAGAACAATTTGTAATATTAAAGAGGGTTACATTAAAATAGAATAGACACTCAAGTATGTCCCTTAGTCCAGAAGTGTCAACAATATCAAAGGACTCTGAATGTTTCCCATAGTCTATCTTCTTTCTGGAAGCTGTAGCCCTACTTCATTTGGAGAAAACCATGTCAGGAAAGTCTGCCATTTTGCTCTGATGTGTAAATGGGTTTTAACTGCTAAGCATTCAAATGCACATTACTGTGCAAATACACACTGAGGTGTGTACTTCAGGATCGCTCCTTACTCACTATTCTGATCCCAAAACAAAATTACATATGGAAGGTGTCATGCGTGGATTTCCCTTATTTGGTGGGAATGCTCTGAATTGGGAAATGTAAGTGGCTATATTTCTGCTTTTGTTATAATTTCATGCCTCCCTTCCTCCCACTCTGCTTTTTCACTGACCCTCATGATAGCTTTGAGAAAATTCTGTACACTGTTATATCTTAGTTATAGTCACAGAAGGTTTTAATGATCTATTGTAATAGTATTAATGATAGACCTGAGTGATATCATTTATATATAACTTTATTTTCTGAACAGCTTATCCTGAAGAAATAAGTGGTAAGTTCCATTATCTCCTTTTCATGTCTCAAAGCCTTTCTGGTTAGCTACTCTGTGTGAATGATACCTTTTTGACATCTAAATAAAACTTATAAAAATCTCCCTCATAGAAGAAATCTTTTTTTTTTTTTGCCAGAAAAAACCCTATAGTATTCTTTTCTTCAGTATAAGAAACAGTTAGTTGATACTAAACCATAGAGCTTTAATGTAATTTTCAGTAGTGAAATAATATTTCTTGCCGTATTTTACTTTTTTTTTTCTTGTTTGTTGGATATAAATTGCATTTGGCTAACTTGTCATGTGAATGCATCTGTGGATCTGGGATGGACATCTACCTTCTAAGATACATTTGCTTCTATGTGAGGATAACGCTTATTGATTTGGCATTTTCCTGAAAGCTACCAAGTGGAAAATGTGTGGCACACTTTTGCATATATTCTCATTTTGCACTTCTCTTTATACTTATACAGCTCATCTTCTGATAGCTGAGAAAACATAAATAATCTATGGAGTGCCTAATTCTCTATTATGTCTAGAATCTGGAGTAGTGTGGTAGAAGACTGGAGGGATGAGGTCCAAGGTCATGGGGAGAGGAATCTCAAGCATCTCCTCAGCCCACAGCCTGAGCATGTGAAAACTAAGAGGA